TAGTGTGCCAGTCGAGGACCAACTTTCTAGCAGCAATCTGGCCATCTTATCGCTGACTGGGCCTATTACCCTTGCTTTCTCAAAGGCAAACGTGTGGTTCTCTTGCTGTACGTGGTCATAGACCACAGACAGCTTATCCTTGTGGTTGCTTGCGAGCTGATGCTCATGCAACATTGTGTCAAGGCGTTTGCCCGTTTTACCAACATACCCCGCATTGCAGTCTTGGCATGATATGCTGTGGACCACAGGTGATAGGTCTGTCAACGGTAGCGGGTCTTTAGACTTCATGATCTGCTGTCTGATGGTTGACTCGCAATCAAACGCAAGGATAAAATGTCTATGGTGTTTGACCAGGTACAGCAGGAGAACCATAGGTTCGCCTTTGAGAAAGCAAGGGTAATAGGCCGAGCCAACGATAAGATAGCCAGATTGTTGCTAGAAAGTTGGTCCTCGACTGGCACACTAAACAGAGCCATAGACCTTCATCCTGCTTACCAAGCGCTCCGCAGAAGGCTAACATCTGCTAAGACCAGAGCAATAGTTCGGGTGGAGGAAGATACGCAGGACCGACAGCCGGCAGCCACGAGCGAAGAAGATGAAACGTACACAAACGACTTGACGCGCCTCATGGAAGCGCCCGCGATAGCACAAGCAATTCAAACAGCCACTAAATCGATCGGCACAGTCGATTAACACAGGGGCCTCAGACGTCAGGCTCACGTTCGGACACACTTACTGACACAAGCGGGAGAACGGTTCCGACGCTCTGACGATGGAAGCGAGAAAGCTTTTGAAACGTCAGCTTAAGTACCACCTGGTCCCAGAAATCGCCTCTTCTTCTTCCTTTTCCGAGGAGGACGAAAGAAATAAAGTAAACAGCTTTTTAACGTTTGGTTTATGAAACAGACAGCATGATCATTACAAAGTTTGCGGCCAATGAAAAAAGAATTGCCTCAAATTTTATTAAAATGAAAAAATGAGTGTGAATTTATTAGTATTTAACGAGAAAAGGGGAAAAGGTGTATTGGAAAGGATCAGCCTGCAGGCCATAGTATAAAAGATAGTGTAATGTT